GGAGCGGAGCGGCCGGTCCCGGCCCCGCCGCCTCGCGCTGGGCTCCCGCGGGCCACGTGCTGCTGCTGCGAGCGCGGAGCCCCGGCACGGGTGCGGGCGAGCCCCRGTGCCCCCAAACCCGCGCCCTGTGGCACCCTGGCCCCTAACACCTCTCTGGTGTAAGGAGCTGCAGGATGGAGAGTTTCTGAAACTTCTTGTGTTTTTCTTCCTCTTCCTTTCCCGCCCCGTAGTGGCTAATTTCTCTGTGTGTGTAAAGAAAAACGCAGATAAAGTTTCCATTCCGTTTCTCGGCCCTAGCGTGCATGGCCAAAGAGTTTATTTTGTGTTTACCTCTTGCGGTTCTGTTTCCCCGCACACGTGCAGCGCCTGACCCGCCAGTGCGTCCCCAAGGACCCACCGGCCGTTCATTAGCCTGAAATGTTACTTTTTATTTACTGCAAAGGGCCAGAAAGAGGGTGGCTGATTTGGGAGCATCTTCACAGCGGCGGGGCTGTCACATTTGGCGGCCGTGGTTAAGGCAGAGAGGAAAGAAAAGGCACAGAAGTGGCTTAGGATGTGAGAGGGCAAATAGGAGAGGTTTCCTTGACTCCCTGCCATCTCCCCGGTCCTGTGGTTCGGGATAAGCAAAAAGGCTTAGCGGTGGCGCTGGTAGGAGCGAGGGCAGCTCCAGCGTGGTGGTGTGTGAGCTGAGCTACCCGAGCCTGCGCTGGCCGCCGACCTGTTCCACCTAACCTGAGGTCGCAGCTGAGGAGCTTCATCTCAGCCCCGGTTTCATTCCCTGCAGCCAGGAGCCTTTCCYCTCTTAGGAAGCCGGGATAGCCCACGCAGATATGGAAAGGCTGGGACTGCCCGCCCTTGTTGTTGGAGTCCTTGTGTAGGGAGCTGCCGGGCGGCAGCTCCAACGCYTCTGGAGGGTGGAAGCCAAAGGTCCCCGCGCGCTGAGGAGACGGACGGCGCTGAGGAGGCGCACGGGAGAGCGTGCAGCCCACGGGCTGTGTGAGCGTGGCGGGGAGAAGGCTGGAGCTGCCCTCCCTGCTYCCTCTTGGTGCGTGGAATATATATAGGGCAAGCTGGGAAACGTAGGGTTTGTGGGGTTTTCTTTTTTTTTTCTTTTATTTTTTTGAAGCATCAGAAAAGGTGTGTACGATAGGATGGCTAGTTTCCTATTGAAGGTACCATCGTGATGTATGTTGGAACCTGGTGGMGTTTGCAATACACGGAAAGCAGCACCGGGATCTTATATCTAGTGTTGGCCCCTCCGCTGGGGACAGAGAGCGCAAGATGTTACGTAGGACCAAACGCATCCTTGGTGTTTGAGCCCTGGAAACACACACCACGCTTAGTCTAGCCTGCATAGAATACGAAGGTCTCCTAACCTTTAAAGGCCTATAGAAATGCCCCAAAGTAATTCTCCATCTGCTCCCAAACGGGGAGCCTTCCTGTCCCTCCACAGCTGCCCCCTCGGCTCCAAATGGCTGCAGCTCTCCCTGGTTCCTGTCCCAGGCCTTATGTTCAGACTCAGCTTTAAAAAACAACTGTGGCCTCCCTTTAAAACAGGAGGAAGGGGGTGGGGGGGGCAGGAATTACCCTGTTTGYTCATCAGCGTCCTAGACTCTTCCGAGCACCGCGCTTGGCTAAGAGCTTATGCTAATGGCTTGCACGCTTGCAGCAATTTGTAGCTCTCATGAACATGAGAATTGCTGGAGGCTTTCTTTAAAAACTAATCCATGCAGACTAGATGCAGGTTTTGTGGTGGCGRAAAGTGCGGTGCCTCTGTTGAGGGCTCACTTCGCTTCTACGTAAAACTTAAAAGAAATATGAAGTATCTTTCACCTCGTGCGTGCCTGTGTAAGTGCCTTCTGCAGAATTAGGATTTTGGCTTTGAACGCGGGGTTTGGTGTCTTTCATCTCAGATTTTTAATCAGTATCTTCCATCAAACAGTTCTTATGCTCAGCTTGGTTATTTGATAATCTTCAGTAATACAGATACAGTATTCCAGTGGGAGCCTGTTGTTTATTTATTTATTTAACTGGCTGTTTCTTTAGTCCGTCTACATGAAGATGCGGCTTTTCTGGTGTAAATCAATTCACGGTTTCTGTCAGAAATACATGGGGCTCCTGCCTCTCAGCCGTTGTCCTGGTGTAAATAAACATGAATGACCTAAAAAGAAGATGCCCGGGAGATGGGGGCTTACAGCAGATCATTTCACTTGGCTCCAGTGTTGCCACTAAAATTTCCTATAGACTATATGCATATTATTAATTATTCTGTGTAACATTTAGCAATTTCACGCTTATCTTATCCCTTTGAAGTGCCGTTAGCCAGGCAAGTAAATGGCATCAGAAATGTACCTTTGTTGCCTCTGTCCATGTACTTCTTTTCAACACTGAAGTCTACCAGAGGCATCAAACGGTGAAGAGCAATCTTTTATTTGGATGTAGAGGCTTTTCTTTTCTCTTTTTTTTTTAACTGAGATTTGTGTTCGTTTCATGAGTTCATCCATTAGCTTCTAACTAAGAGCTTCCAGAGATGGAAGAGCTGTGTTTATACTGCCCAAGGAGGGATTAAAGAGTCTTTTTCTTCCTTTGGGACTGCCGGTCATTGTTCCTGTTTATAACGCACATGTATTTGTGTAGCGTTAAAAAAAAAATAAATGTGCATTAGGAGACTGCGTGGAATTGAAAGRGGAGCAATACATTGCAAACTCGTTTCTTCCTACGTTTCTGCCTCCTGGCTGGCTTTGATTCACCCGCTGTTTGCGTCTTAGAAGAAATTCATTGTTTGCTGGAAAAATCTGTCACTGCTTTCTAATGAAGAAACTCTTCAAAAAGCAGGGTATGATTTTTGTTCTTCGTTTGTAAATGTCCATCAGAGATGGTGGTTAGTGAATCCATCAAGGGACCTGCTCCAGTGACTTAGAAGAATTAAAATTGGATTTACCAAAGCAGGACACACTATGAAGAGTAGTTTAGATTTGATACTTTATTTTCCTTTCCTGCTGTTATAACACTTCCTGGATTTTTCTGTCAGATTCTGCCCTTTTATTCCAGGATTGTTCATAGTCATAGCAGTAGCAGAGGCCCCGATTCAGCCGGGTGCCTCCGTGGTGGCCTGTGCTGAGGTAAGTGTAAATGGTGCTGTGATAAGTGTAAGTGGTGCTGTGTATGGTTGTGGGAATACGTGTTTGATTAGGACTAGGCGTTTCCCTCGAGCTCCCTTGTGGAGCTGAGGCCAAAAGGAGCAAGTCCAGCTGCAGGCCCTGCGCTTGGGAGACGTTTCCTAAAGGAAATGCTGTCGGAGTATTAATCGCAATAGTAGCAGTAGTAGGGAAGAAAACAGCCTTTCTTTCTATATTAAATGTTAACATTATTGTTGCCTTTCCAATTATGGATTTAAGTGCTAGAGTTAATACAGAAACATTTCTAAAATATCTGTGAACATTCAGTTTTATATAATGCTTTTACAAAGTAAAACCTTACCGCTCTTCTCATCTGGTCGACAAAAGACTCGCAGACGACACAACCAAATGTAGAGACCTGTTTCTGTGAGGATCGTAGTTCTGCTTACTGGAACTTTCCAAAAGGCTCAGAACCCAACTACTGCTTTTATTTTTTTGAGGATTCTTTTTTTTTGTATTTCATATGAAAAGAGTTCAATTAGTATGTACTGTTAGGCTTGGAGTCAGTTGCACAGCACAGTGTTGGTTAGCCTGTAGGCCTGCCAATGAAAGTATTTTCATTTCTGAAATCAGTTTTATGGATTCTAACTGGCCTTATGGTATTTCTTTGAAGACTATTTTAAGATCAAAAAATGCAAAATGATGGCAAAAACGCTTTGTGGGTTTCCATCTGGTCTTGTGACCTGAAATATATCCCCTTATTGTCTTAATGTAGTATCTGTGATTTGACGTTGTTTGAAATGTAGCCTTAATTTTTTAAAAAAATTTTTTTGAATATTCCAGCATTTCTCAAACCATGAGAATGGCTTCCTGAAGGCACTGTGTCGCTTGAGCAGTTTGCAGATCTCAGAATCTAACCCTGGGTAGATCTGAGCTTTGCCACTGGTGGTGACAGTGATGTGGTGGGTGAGAACGTGCATGGAATATTTTCTTGTGAGCACATGGAGAGCAAATGCAGAAAGAAAAAATCCAGTAGCAACAGTCTTTGCAACGTTTAATTGATGATTTAAAAAAATAGCCATTAAATTTATTTTGGYGGAATGGAAAATCCACGCTTTCAACTTGAAAGAGAGAATCTGATAACACGAAAGTTTCTGTAGGATACTTCTGGGTGTATGTTTTGTGATTAAAAATTGGATAACTGAGAAATACCTTCCTGTATTGAACCTGTGACCTTTTATGTGTCTAACAATGTTTTCTCTGTCAATCAAACCTGCCTAGAAGAGCTCACTGCATTTTCCTGTTGACACCAATTCCCCCGGGTGCTTTTTCCTGGTTGCTGCTGCTTAATGATGTTTTCCAAAATTCTCTTAATCCAGCTTTATTTTTATGAGGAAAGAAATCACTCACTGCTCCTTTAAAGCTTTCCTATAGGTTTTGTTGGTTGGTGTGGGGGCTGGGGGGAGTTGTTGGGTTGAGTTTTCTCAATATTCACTAGTTTCGTGTAGTTTTTAAGTACCCTTGTTGATCCTCACACCTGCAAATACGTGCCATTTGGAAAGCTGCGTATAATGGACTGTCTATTCTGTCCTCTATTTTGATAAATGTAAATAGTTTATAAATCTGTTCCCGATATTCTACCAAGCTTACATGCTAGCAGTCAGCAACATATTTATTTTGCCTAACCTATCAGACCAGTAAATGCGGAGTGGGTTCTAAATTAGTGTTCGTTGCTATGCCTGACAGATGCCAGAAGAAAACCTTTGATGGGATGTTATAATCCCACTGTCCGATATCAAAATAGCCTCTGCTCAGACGCAATTTGTATTTGTTTTCTCTAGCCTTTGCACGTCTGCTCGATTCCCCCACATGTACAACAGCTTAAGCCCTTCAGCAAGGGTGACCATGGGCCATCGTGCCTATTGCACTTAGTGCCAGCCTTTAAATGTAAAGAAGAGTGTTCAGCATAAAGACACATAATTGGATTCTTGCATTTCTAATGTGAGTTTACAAAAAMCAAGTGCTTTCAAATCATTTCATAAAGAAAAGATTTTCTTTTTAGGTTGTGTTTTGCAAAAGATGAAAAAAGTACTTCTTATACTGGCCCATTCACTGTAGCTTACATATAGCATATAGAAAGCAGTGCTGCTGACCTAGCTTTGCCGTGCAAGCAGAGCAAAAACAACATGTAAATAACCATCACAAACAGGTCTGAGAGGAAGAATTGTTCCAGTTAGAACAGTCTAAATTGCTCCGTGCTGTCTATAATCAAACCAGTTTTCAGGTGAGAGTGTTCAAATGAATATAATGTTATTCCAAAGTTTAGATTCTATTCAAAAACTTAATCAGCTGATTGCAACATTTTTCTTGCCTGATGTTCTGGTCTCTTTATTATTCTGACTTAATTTTCTCCTTCCTTACCCTCTCTGCATTCCTTTTCTCCCACTTCCCTCCTTTATTTTAAATGAAATAACAGCGTTGCTTTCCTTTGACTCTCTAATTTCAAGCTCAGTAACTTGTTTTTATAATTGCTGTTTATCTTAATGTCTTTACAGCTCCTCCTATGTGTGTGGCCTAAGTTTAAGCATGGAAGTAGGTGCCAGCAACTTCACATTCAAATTTCTGCTCAAACATTCACTCCCTCTTAAGAGGAGCCCAAATAGCATTGCCAGAGAGTTTTTTTAAAAATGACATCTTTATTTGCTGTATTCAGATTCTTTGGGACATCTGATTTGGTGCTCCATGATGTTCCTGTTAAAATAATTGTAATTTCAATGGGCTAAAATCAGCAAATAGAGGAACATCAAAAAAGTTGGACATGGAAAATAACTTTCTACTTGACATATTTCAAGAGATTTCCCAGGAAATATTATATAATCAGTATAAAATCAATTTATTATAACTTTGCAAGTAATTTGAAAGAAAAAAAAATGTAGGTTGTAACGTTGCAGAAGATATGAGTATATGGTTTGGTAGATGTTGACAACAGCAGACCTTGTTCTCCAAAGTGTTTTAAAAGGGTCGGATAGGAAAGTGACTAGAAAGAACGTAGCCATCCCTTACTATGTATGTGATAATATTGGCGAAATGGACTAAATGGTCCTTGTCGGCTGATCCTGAGCTCCCGAAGGAAAGTGATGGCTGGGAGAGAGAAAGTGATTCTTGGCTGTATAAATAACAGASTACATGTACTCTGTGGGTAAATTTTAGTTACTTGACTAGTGGTTCTAATTGAAGTGTCCATGGTTTATTATGAAAAAGATGCTGACGAACTGGAAAGGTCTCTGAGAGGAGCTGCAAGCAGTTTGATATCCAGAAAGCTTCCCTTCTCGTAATGACACTGTGAGGAGCTCAGTAGCATTTAGGCTGTCTAAGAGAAGGTTTAGAAGTGATGGGATTATAGTTTGAGGCTTGGGTCTGCCTCGGGGTATATAACTACTGAGGGAAATGAGAGCTAAGTGCTTCATGTCAAAGTAGACCTATGACTTGAAAAAGATATTTGAAGTAGAGGACTTTTTAATCTCTCTAGCACAGGTTGGTCATATAGCTGAGAGATTAAGCATAACACATTCAGACTAGTAGGGAAGACTTAATATTTAGCAGTGAACGTAATTAACCTGGAAAAGTCTTATTTACAAATGTGGTAGCTTTTCCGCTGCTTGATATTTTTATTTAATTTATATTTGTATTTTTTTTTTTTTATTGATCAGAACTCTGCATCTTTCAGTGTGGTGTTAGACTTGATGCAGATCATCTTTGGTGAAATGTAATGCTCTAGTTTATGCAGGAAACCAGCCTCAGTGATCATAATGGTCTGTATATACAGAAAAATAGTGCTCAAAAGGTCTGTGTGATCTTTCTAAATACCACTTGGAAGCTGGAACAGAGAAGAAACCAATACTAGCTAGCCTGTGGCACTGTGCAAATGTATAATAAAAGTTTCATAAACTGCTGATCTGAGGATATGGTTTTAGCTTCCCTGTAATGTGCTGAAACTTCTTGAAGATTTTGGTCCTGCACATCTATATTTGATAGGTCTATTACACTTAAAATTTGCCTCTTATTCATATTCTTCAGGGAGACTCTCAACTTTTTTTAAAAATACTTGGATGATTTTGTTAGCAATCTCTCTCTTTCTCTGCATTTGAAATACTCTTTTTGAAGATCACCACTGAATGCATCACTGTGTTGCCATTAACTCAAACTGGAAAAATCAAGTCAAAATCAAATAAGRTGTAATTTTCCAGAGAGAGACATTGCTTAAGAGAAGGATAAAAGGCTGTGATAAAGAACCAGAGTTACATCCAAGAAGCTGACAAGATGGGAAAGGCTAAAATAACATAGACATCAAAGACATGACACTCGGACAAAATTGCCTGAGTGAGGACCACACTGGAAAGTGAATTGGATCATCCATCGCAGAACAAAAACACATCATTTTAAGGAGAACTGTTTTGGAATTATGGGAAGGAGATGTCACAAGTGATGTCATAAAACCTGGAGAGAAGGATATACATATAGGTCATAAGTCACTTAGACCTATGAAGAATATTTTGCCCCCTTGGTACCCTAGAACATCTTCCAGTTTGGGCCTTTTTTCTCTCCTGCCGTTAGGGCTGCCATGTAAAATAGCTGCAGCTTCTGATTTAATTCTGAGAGAAGATGAGTTAAAAATAAATGATGTTAGCCTACCGTGTTATRTTAAATGATGTTAACCTACCATTAGCTGACCATGAGGCAGCAGTGTGCCCTGGTGGCCAAGAAGGCCAACAGGATCCTGGGGTGCATTAAGAAGAGCGTCTCCAGCAGGTCGAGGGAGGTGATCGKCCCCCTATACACAGCCCTGGTGAGGCCACATCTGGAGTACTGTGTCCAGTTCTGGGCTCCCCAGGACAAGAGGGWTGTGGAGCTGCTGGAGAGAGTCCAGCACAGGGCTACCAGGATGATCAGGGGCCTGGAACATCTGCCCTGTGAGCAAAGGCTGAGGGAGCTGGGCCTGTTCA